GGCCTGACAGGGCATCATCACAATATGGTAGGGGCGTAACATTTCCGTCACACGCTTGAGGTATTCGGCCAATCATAACGCACTGGATAGCTGGCCAATCAGAGCACACCTCGCTTTTTCAGACCGATGAGCTTTGTAAAAATCGACGCGTTTCAGAAAGGCGGGGCATAGAGGAGGAACAATAATGTACAGTATGTGGAAAATAATGTGTTTTTTGAACCTTAAACTGCATAAACACATTTCATTACACCAAATACACAAAATACTGTTCTTTTTAGCAGCATCATATGACCCCTTTAATATTAACAAAACAAAAAATATATATTTTATGCAAAATAATCTGGGTTTCGAAAAGTGACTTGGACATTTTCTTGTGAGATGCACCATGTCAGTGTATTTGCTTGGTCATGGGTTTTAAAATGATTGAAGGCTCACCTCCCTGGGCGTTCTCACTGAGACGAGAGTAGGCAGAGATCTCAAGGCGGGGGATGCATCTCTCGATGGACACCCAAGTGTAGGTTTCAGGGCACAGGAGGTCTGAAGGCCGGTACTGACCCTATAAATGCAAAAACAAGTGGAAGTGCTCGGTCAGTGTCCTGGTGTCAAATGCTGTATTATTTGCTGTAAAACCAGGAGAAAAAAAGAGGGGAAAAGCACATTGAGTTGCGTGTGTTTTAGGGCGCTGCTGATAGTCATACAGAGCCAAACAAATCACACACACACCATTGTGACCGCAATGTAAACAAGCAAACGCCTCAGCGCAGATCCTTGCATCGCTTCAAACACAGCTGAGCCATTTCTGGCGGAGGCAAAAGTTCAGTGACACGCTGCACGTACGGACACGCACCCGCACGCTAAAGCCTGCACAGCTTATGAGGGTTTAGTGCAGCATTTGGTCAAACGAGAAACAGCCTTGTTAAAGTCCCACCATTACTGACAGGATTCGTCTGTCATTATCCTGCAGTGGAAACTATGTGTCCTGTTTTTACAAGACGGACAACATGGGAACGAGGGACCCTGTGGAACGTGCAAATAAAAGGCATTTTGTGGGGCGGCGATATGTTGGGTGAGTACTCATGAGGGAAAGGTTTTCACACTCGTGTTCATCACTCTGTCATCAGCGGACTATATGGAGAGCCCTAAAGAGTGCGGTGACTTATTCAGAGCAGACCGATGACAAGCAAGCGAGGGTCATTGGATTTGAAGGCCTCACCGAACAACACAAGAGAATCTGAATTTTTGAGCCTGCTGACTGATGTGTGCACATGTGTACAAAATTAAAGAAAAGAGAATAAAGCAAGTTCCACTAATGCATAATACAAACATCCATAAAACAGCATGGAATTATAACACACACACACACACACACACACACACACAAGAATAGTAATTCTACAGGAGTACAAAATGAAAAACAGGGTTTTTTTCTGTTTTGAAATAAAAGAGAGAGCTGTGCAGGTATAGTCAATAGTAATGGTCTTTTATTGAAAATTCTTAAAGGTACAGTAGCAAAAACAGTCTAATGCTAAATCACAACTGTTCTGGTGCAAGAAACTTTACAGCGGACAAGAAACGTTACAATGGACTTCAGGGGAAAGGACTAAAATGCTACAAAAGTGCAGAATATGACCTTTTTAAAGTGAAGGATGTGCTACAGATATTCGGATATGCTTAAGTTAAACGTCACACTCCACAGCTCTTAAATGTGCAGCTTGCGATCATGCTCTGGAAAGGAATCTTGGCTGCTGGTACATGCAAGAGCCTGTAAAGAGATTTTGCAAAGATGCAACTTCCATTATTGGGGAAACCAGGAAGTAACCAGAACAAACAGATGATACATTCAATAAGCCAAACTGAAAACAAGAGAAACAGACCATAAGTGTAGATTTTTTGTTCTTCATCATCAGCTAATTAAATAAAAACATCAAAAAAAGAAAGAAAAAGAGAAAGATATATATATATATAAGAATATATATATATGTGTGTGTTTATATATATATATATATATATATATAAATTACCTCATAATATTAGAATTACCTCATAAGAATCACTGTAGTCTGAAACAGTATACACTCCTCACACCATATGTTTGTTTTTGAGTGCAACTAGTAAAGACAATAGAGACACGTAACATGCAATAGAACGTCATGTCACGGCTTGTTTCATGATACATGCGATACCTCATTATAACTCGAGCTCACATTTCTGGAAAAATATTTCTTTTACCGTAAAAACGCAGTGCAGGAAACACTGTAGTTCGCACATACTTACAGAAGCCTGTGATCTCGGGGGAGTCAGAACGGTTTATGCAGAGGACACTTGGATAAAGGTTGTCAAAGAGTTAAGATGAGAGAGAGATGGAGTCTGGCTGGTCATTATCTCTGCGTCTGTTCCACTTCCCTGACGGCTCTGTTGGACACATGTCTCGAGGCTGAGCTCACCGCCGCACCAAAGGCCTTCTCTCCTCATAGCCTGTTCCTAAATCGCTCTCTAAGATTTGCTGTTTGCACGCTAGGGATATGCTGGTATAAAATTTTCATGTTGCGATTAATTGCTAATGCTTTTATTACGGTATACGGTATTATCACGATATTGAAATTTAGTTTAAAAAAAAGTGCTGTCATAATACAGTATAACAGGTTTAATAACTTTTTTCTTATAACAAAAATAACTGAACATTTAAATGCAATAAAGCAATACAGAAAAATGTATAAAGTTAAAAAGTTTTACACAGATTAAAGTGCAAAAGAACTATAAAGACCAATAGGTATCACTTTACAATAAGACCTCATTAGTTAACCTTAGTTAATGCATTAACATTCACAATGAGCAATAGCTACATTTACTACAGAAGTTATTAATCTTTGTTTAAAAAAACACAAGTCTTAGTTCATGTTAGCTCATTAAATAACACAGCTGCATTTTAACATTCTGTTATTAAATATTGGAATACCTAAGATTAATGAATGTTCAGAAGAATTTTTCATTGGCAGTTTATGTTAACTAATAAATTAACTAATGTTAACTAATGAAGCCCTAATGTAAAGTGTGACCGAACAATAAAGAATCAAAACACTTTCAAACAATATCTAGGGCATGTTGTAGTCCAGATTAAAATGTAAAAAAAGTTTGAAAATAAATAGCCTATTAAGTCTAAATATGTAAGTATGTGGCGCTGTGATGAACATCATAGCAAATACACAAATCTGAATGGCTATTTAAATCATTTAAACATGATTCAGAAACAGGAAGTAGTGCAGCTGCTTTGTTTACAGGGTTTCCGGGGTAACGGCTGCATTTAAATGAATTATTATTATTATTATTATTATTATTTCTGCAGTTTAGCGCCATCTGCTGTCAGAGAGTGAAAGTGCGCTTTCATCCAGAGCGTCTCTCACATGTTCCGCCATGTGCTTCACGTCCACGCTTGTTTACATCAGAGTGCGCACGCGTCTTTCACGCAGCATACAGCGGTGTTGTGCATTTTGACCAGTTGATGGGAAAAGTATTCTTAAAATGCATTCAAAATTCGGAATAATTTGTAATATATAATTATTCACGGTATTTAGAAGTGCCCACGATAACAATATCGTGCATATTCATTACCCTGATATATCGCATTACCGAATACCGGCACAAGTCTATTGCACACAAGTGCTTGCTCTAAAGATCACCATTTCAAAGAACACAGCAAAGTTTAACCAGCTCCTCGCTTTTAAAATTAGGGATGGGATTTTTCAGAAATTAAATGATTATGTGTCAGATTTCAAGTTCGCATTTAATGTGTCTAGCAACTTTGTTTGAGATGTCTATTAAAGGAATAGTTCATAAATGTTACAATTTTGTCATGAGATTCTGTCACTCTTTTCCTTAAAATTACAATGAATGAGAACTGGTGCAATAAAATTTCAGTAATGCAAAAATAGTTCACATCACTCACCAACATGCCTATGGGAACTAGAGAGAATGTCCGTGCAAAACATATGGACTATGTTTATGATGCTTTTATGATGCTTATTTTTGCAGAATATCCGCTACTGTTCAAAAGTTTGGAGTTGGTAAGATTTTTTGAATGCTTTTGAAAGATGTCTCTTTTGCTCACCAAGGCTGCATTTATTTGATCAAAAATACAGTAAAAATAGTAATATTGCGAAATATTATTACAAGGTAAAATATCTGTCTTCTATTATAATATATTTTGAAATGTAATTTATTCCTGTGACAGAAAGCTGAATTTTCAGCATCATTACTCCAGTCTTCCGTGTCACATGATCCTTCAGAAATCATTCTAATATGCAGACTTGCTAAAAAAAAAAAAACGGCTTTGAGTGCTGATTCACATGTACAGCTGAGAGAAAATAAAACGTGTGCTCATCATCATGACAACACCTCTCATGCTTTTATTACATATTTTATTAAGGTATTCTGTCCACATCTGTGGAACAATGCAGATGTTCCATAAACCACTAACAGAACTGAACGTCAAGAAAATCATTGCGTCTCCAAATCTTTTGTAAATCCATTCTTGCTATCTCTTGGTAACTTGATCGCGCTGACGCCCGTATCTAAAATGATAGCAGAGGGTATCATGGGATGCTGAAGACTAAAAAAAAACTATGAAAAAAGCCAAACGAGCAAAATCTAACCATGTGGAGCATATTTTTTTCCCTTCGCATCCATAAATCCATCAGTTCCGCTAGCTCAGCACACTGCTATCAGAGGAGGATGTGATAGCAGGGGGAAAAAAGCAGCAAGAAACGACATGCTCACTGTCCCATTCTTTCCAGCTGATCTAAAGCCAGTTTTGTCTTCTGCTGAGGCAGGATGTGGTTAAGAGTCTGAGGGTACGAACTCTGATCCAACATCAGTTCATAAGAGCAGGGGGGGGGGGATGAAGTGAGCTATGACGGCTGAAAAAACTAATTGAAACCAGTCCAATCCGTGTGTTTCTGTCTGCATTTCTCACTAAAAGAATGGCACAACGAACACAGCGCCATCCGTCTTCAAGTCCTCCTGCCAACCTGCTTTCACACGACAATGAAGGTAATGTTGACAGACGGCCCGCACTCGCTAAGGCTCACTGACATCACCATAGTGAGGAATACAGAGGATAAAGAAAAGAGAATAAGAACTGTGTTTGAGAAGCACCTTTCGTCATATTGCATGAATAGCTGTTTAAAGAGAATACACAATAATAAATCAGGAAGCTCCAAAAACATACACATGGATGTGGCTAGGACAGATGCAACGTCATGGACGACTGGATTAGATAAAAACCAATCAAGCTAAAGAAGAAACATGGATATGCAGGTATGTTTTGGTTTAATTTAGCGATGCACGAGTTATATCAATGACTCCAATTTCACATTTTTTCTAATTCTCTGCAATAGTCAAATTAGGTTTAAATTAGAAACAGATAACTGTTTTCCCACATATACTCAAAACTCATAACATAAAAATATACATAAAAATAATTATCACTGTATTATTGCCCAAAATATCTGTGCACCCTTTGTTTATTTTACTGAGAAGGCCTAATTGCTCAAGAGATGC